ATCAACCTCCATCAAAAACAAGACCATTTTCTTTGGGTGACTGCCATATTTATTTCCCTCCACACATGCTTTTTTAATAAAGAATGAGGTTCTTGTACCGTGTCCCTGAAGACCTGTCAAATATTGCAACAGAACAGTAAACTTATGTACATTTTTAGCACCATCTCATAAATCCCTTTGGCTAAACTTCTCTTCTATAAGCAAGACAAAGATCAGTTTGCTTCACAAGAAAATCTAAATGTGAAGCTCAAAGACCTCCCACAACACAACGTGTTGTTCTAAATGAGTACAAAATATTTAAATAGGCTTGCTGTTTCATTCACTGAATACTTACAGGGAAAAAAACCAACAAGCTACCCCCCACAACTGAAAGCTGACTGCATAGTGATAAAGATAAGTGCCTTAGGCTACAACACGTCTGGGGAAAAAAAAAAAAACAAAAAACTCTCTCACAGAATCCTCATTACTAAATCTTGTTTTTTATGAAGAGAAGAGTCAGTGGCCCTCAGCTTCCAGCTGGAGTTTCTCCAGTCAATGGTTTTGGCTTAAAAAGAACATTCCTGCCAACAAATAATGTTTGTTGTAAAGTACAATCTTTAGCAGGTCAAGCGGAGATCAGAAGGCCACAACTGGTGGACCTACCAAGCTTCCCCATGATCTTCAGTAAACACAAACTTATGCGAAGGTTTGTGTCTCTAAAAAGCTGGGGTATATAATGTTTTACTAGTCTAAAGAGAGAACATATATATTTTTTTTTAATTTAGCATTTCTATTTATTATAAAATGCCTCTTGGGCACTCCACAGATCAGCAGAAACATTTTACATCCACATGTATTAGTATTGAGGACGGGAGTATGACTACTTCCTGATTTCATGAAGTATATGGAAAAAATAAAACTTCAAAATACCACCAAGGAATACATGGAGTTCAAGTTGCAAGTAGGCTTCCTCAGCAAAGGAAAACACATTCATATCAAAAACTACCAAGAAGATATTCAAAATCTCATGTGCAAGTCCGTTCTCAGGAGTGTATATAACATGAAACACCATTAGTACTGATAAAGAATGGTTTGTCTACCAATATGGCAATGCTTATGGAAAAAAATATGTACTTCAGATAATTTAAAGTATTAAATTCCATGTCTGTATAGCTGGGATTTACAAGTGCGTTATTTTGAAATTTCTCTTTGAAGATGATTCTTTCCCCTTTTAAGTTGCCAAGTTTCACGTATTTGAATCTAAGAAACTCAGTGCAGCTGAAAAAAAAGAATGAAGTAATGCTCTGAACACTCAAAAGGATTAAAATTTGGTATGATTGAAGTCAACAGCAGCTAACAGTCTTCTAAGGCATTTCAGACAGAACAGTTTGTCTCACTTCATAATAACAAACTTGTACATAAGATCCAATCCTGTGAGGCCCATTCAGAAGTACTGGAACACTGGAGTTCTTCAATACATGCTTCTCCAAAAATGTGACATGCATGAAAATAATCCCTTTGAGTACTCTGAATAAATGAGTTTGATATATCATTAAAGACAAGTAATAACACAGTCCCAGAAGAGTGATCAACATCAATAAAAGATAAACGTATGAAGAAGTCATATTATTTGATCTCTATTCCCCTCATAATTTTTAAGTTTCACAATTCTCATAGCAGCAGTGATCAAGACATCAAAACTGCCATCACGTATACAGATAATTTTCAGCTCAGCAACTAAGCCATTCTGCTTTGATGTAAAATTCATCATACATGCCAACTAGAATTGAACCAAGAGATGCGTAACTTCAAACCAAATTGCGACTGTAAGGTTGCACAACTTACATCAGTCTCTGAGTTCAGAAAGAATCCCTTAGTGACCAGCCCTGGAGAAAGAGGGCTAAGAACTCATTCTGAAGTCTATGCCCAGCAAATCTTCTGAGTTATTTTATTTTTATACATGAAATAAGATGTCAAAAAGAAACCACGTCAGGATGTGAGCTATTCACTGAGCACAGCATAAAACACGGCTAACAACTCTCAAGAACTGAAAAGGGCGAAACTATCAGCCGTGCTACGTTCAGTAGCAGACCACAGGCAACTCAGAGATGTTCTCACACAGAATTGCTGCTGGTCAGCTGGCACGATGCTCAAGCCATTGCTGAGCAATTGCAATGCAAGCAAGCACATCCTTTTTTTTTTTTTTTTTTTTTTTTCTTTTGTAAGGAAAAATCAAGAAGCTCGAGGAGAAAATGGTAATAATAAAGATCTAACACAGTTTCCTCAACACAGAAAACCCCCTAAAATTCTGCACCATCTAAGGATTTTTGATTTTCCAAATAAGCAGCTTCTTTTTACTTGGAAAAAAAAATATTAAGTAATGTTTTTCATCATTCCAAAGAAAGAAGACAATGGGGGAAAATAAATGAAAAGAGCTACAGACCAAAAACTATTCTTTAACAGTTAAATTGCCAAAAAAATCAAAGTAGGAAAGTGTGAACGATTAACATTTAGGAGCAAACGCTAAACATAACATTGACAAGTTCTTAGAGCAGATTTTTAGCTGCTGAATGAGTTTTTTAAAATACTCAAAAAAAACCCCTCTGGTTATTTATATCAATAAAAGAGCTATTCTTTCTAGAATTTACAGTAACTGTACTGACTATGAAAACCCATTAATTTTACAAGTCTCCCAGTATCTTTACTTTTACAAATCTCACTTTGTACTACATTCTAGCTATGTTTCATGCTTTTATTTCCTTTTTTTTAGAGGTATTTCTGGCAAAAGTAATCTTACATCTCCTTTTACTACTTCTAAAAACAAACGCACACCTCCACTTATCCGTACTCCACAAACACTTCTGCAAAGTGTCTTTCATCAAATCCAGAGACAGCATTTTCATGCACAATCATTTCTGAATATTAAGTTTCATAATGCAGATATCTTTGAAACCTAAAACAATTAGCACCATCAGTGCAGGAGACAATACATACAAAGTTTGATTTTCTCTACTGAGATCTACTATGTAGCTCAATAGTGAGCAATATGCAAGAAGTTGTATTTATTACCATGTAATGCTATGTCATGCTAGAAACATGCAGCAGCTTGATCACAGACTTTGACATTCAAGATTACTTACTATTCCTGTGCTTTCTGTACAAAGAGACTTCTGACATAAAGCTTATTTATATAACAAATCAGTAGGGCTTCATTCAATTGCAAATACATTCCAATAATCTCCATTGAGCCAAATATATCTATCAAGTTCCTTTGCAGTGCAGTTGTGCAACAGTCAGACATTCTGAAATATATAATATAGAATGAGGGGGGATTTCCACTACCACATCACTGAAGCTGACATTTTGTCCTTACTTCTTAAATGGAAGAAATCTGGAAGAATTTAAGACAATCATTTTGACCACTGGGTGCCACTCTTGTTCTCTGTGAAAACAAACTGCCTCGCCTTAACTCATTTTTTGTTTTGGTTATTTTTTTTCCTTTGCCTTGCATACATGTTTTTTGTTTGTGTTCTAAAGTGAAAGACATAAAAATTCTAGAGCAATTTACATAGAACACTTCTTTTTAAAACACTTTAAGTTGTTTCTAGCCCCAATAATGTAATTTTGTTTGAAGTCCAGAGCACATGGATCCTTACAGAGTATAAAGGGGTTGTTTTTATTTATTTTAGTTGCTCATGGGGTTTGTTTTGTTTGTTTGTTTGTTTTTGGGGGACAGGAATCTTTATGAAAGTCGTTGCTTAATGCCTAGCCCTGTAACACTTACTGTCATTGCTATTAGCAGGCCACTATTCTGTGCAATTATATACTGTTTTTTAAAAAATCCCTTATCAAACTACACTGCAGACATACCACTACTTAATACCATTCCTGCATTTCATAGATATGATGAACCTGAGGTACAGACCCATCACGACAGCTAAGAAAACAACATCACAACAAGGAAACAATGAACTGAATACTACCCACTACCTGCCCAAGTGACCCTGGAGCTATTCAAGGATCGCTTGGACGTCATGTTGAGGGACATGGTTTAGTGAGAACTATTGGTGATAGGTGGATGGTTGGACAGGATGATCTTGTAGGTCATTTCCAACCTTGGTGATTCTGTGGATTTCAATATATCTTGAGAACACTTCATCTGGTACTTGAACAGATGTCCTTTCCCACATTAGTATCAATTCACTGCTCTACAAACCATTTTGATAACATACAAAAATGCTCCCAATAGTCACAATAGATGTTATGACAGTTTTGATGTTACCATGTGAACAAAAAATGTAATACTAAGAAACAGTAAGATTAACTAAGGAAATTTCTAAAACATAAGCTGTCAAGTTGCAGACTGACAAATGTATACAAGAGGAACTGTTCTCTGTTTCTACATTTAAGCATACATATGAATCTTCTAGATTCAAAGGTAGACTGGGATCTGAGTAAACCTACAGCTTGGAACACTTTTTTGTGAGATAATTTTCATATGAGACATTATTTATAAAATAGCACTTCTTTAACCTTTTTTTTTTTATACTGCATGGAGGGATATTTATACATATGTATACAAAAAGACAAGAAATTTACTAGATAAAAGAGCTTTGATTCAACAGTCTGGGGTAGCAAAGATGGGATTTTCATAGGGGAAATAAGAGGAAACCTGAAACAGATCATGGGTTTCTGACAGTTGCAACAACAGCATATTGATATTCAGAACAGGCATTTATCCAATACCATAAGCAGAATGACAGCACGTGCACAACAGTTAACTACTCTTTCAAGCAAATATGCCTAAACAGTTTCAGGAAGAGGAACCTGAGCAATACCCTTGTAGTTAAGCAACATTCATATCTTGAAAATAAAACTTCCCAGCAGTTTCATAGTTTCAAATTCCAACTGAATAAGTCTTAATCTTTCCACTAACAGAAGCTGCTTTGAGCAGGAGGTTGGAACAGACGGCCTTCAAATCTCCCTATCCATAGCAATTACTGTGAAGTTTTATATAATACCTGTATTGAGTCTGACGATTCATAGGATGATCTCTTGGCCATCTGTATCCTGACTCATCCTGCAAAACATACACAGACAAATGTTTGAAGTGCATCTCAGCATCAGCTGTGAAATATATTACCAAATGATACTCATTTACTGCATAAGCAAAGTACTTAATGAGTTAAAAAGACAGTATTCGTCATTCACAGAAAGACTTTCTCTTAGTTTATCCATTCCTTTCACCTCCTCTTATTTTCTTCCTCCACCAAAAGGAGTAACTCTGCAATGCTACAGAAAAAAAAAAAGTATTTTGTGTGGTATAAAATTTCTAAATCATATAAGTGAGCCCTGGTTTTAAAAAATAAATTTTGTCACTGGAATGTAAATACTTAGCACTAGCTTGAAATTACATGAGTTCGAACAACTGTCTCAGAGAAGTCAGAATTGATGATCTTTTAAGAGTAACTACTGGTAAAAAAAAAAAAAAAAAGAAAGAAACAGAACACTCAGCATCACTACAGAATTTAAACAAGTGAACAACTTTGCAAATAAGGAGGCTGGGTAGGTAACATTCTGTAAGTCATATGTGCAAGGATATGTTGTACACAACAAAGATCTTTGCAATCACTCCTCCAGATAACTTTGCACTGCACTGCAGAGGACTTCTGCCTACGTCTGTTGTCCCACGTCAGACTCTGAGCTCACCACAGACCAGAACAACGACTCTTTGCCAAGCCTGCACAGTAGTCAGGAACAATGAAAGGTAGCATATGTGTATCACCGTATCATCATGAGTTACTGTGCAGCACAGTAACTGCACAAAAGCACCAAGTAGTATAACCTAGGTATTTTTTTCTTCTGTGTTTCAGTTTATGAGAAGAACAGTAGAAATAACAACACTCTGTCTGAAAAAAATATTTTCATCATTCAGCGTTCAAGCATTAATTCAGTGACAAACACCATAATCATGAGAAAAATCACCTTATGTACACCTCGATGTGGTGGGCCACTTCTTCGCTCATGGGCAAAACCACGACCCTCCTCATAGTCTCTGTACTCAGCGTGGCTGTAATCATCATAGCGACTGTAACTCCCTTCTCCAGGTCTATCAAGAAGTGGAGGTTTCTTGGGCATGATGTTTACAATTCTATGGTACTCATCCTAAACCACAAAACAAATAAAAGCATACTTCTCTAAGCATCTGGAAATGTATAGTGAATATACAAGTAAAAACATTATTTCTACATAGTGGATTATAATAATTTCAAAGCTAAAATAAGCACAGAAGAACATCAAGGATCACTGAAAGATAGAAAACATAGAATCATAGAATGGCCTGTGTTGAAAAAGACCACAATGATCATCTATTTTCAACCCCCCTGCTACGTGCAGGTCGCCAACCACCAGACCAGGCTGCCCAGAGCCATATCCAGCCTGGCCTTGAATGCCTCCAGGGATGGGGCATCCACAGCCTCCTTGGGCAACCTGTTCCAGTGCAGCACCACCCTCTGTGTGAAAAACTTCCTCCTAATATCTAACCTAAGTCTCTCCTGTCTTAGTTTAAAACCATTCCCTCTTGTCACTATCCACCCTTGTAAACAGCCATTCCCCCTCCTGTTTATACTCTCCCTTCAAGTACTGGGAGGCCGTAATGAGGTCTCCCCAGAATCTTCTCCAAGCTAAACAAGCCCAGATCCCTCAACCTTCTCTCATAGCAGAGGTGCTCCAGCCCTCTGATCATCTCAGTGCCCTCCTCTGGACCCGCTCCAACAGCTCCAGGCCTGGACGCAGCACTGCCGATGGAGCCTCACAAGAGCTGAGTAGAGGGGGACAATCACCTCCCTGTCCCTGCTGGCCACCCGTTCTTTAATGCAGCCCAGAACACAGATCATCAGCTCATGCCAAATGGACGGTGGAATAAGTCGTCATTTGGACACCATTCAGATGCAATCCTTAAGTACTGCAAGCTTAACCACAAAGGGAAAGTTCTCAACACAATTTACAACTGAAATTTTAAAGTAGTCAACTAAATTTTCTAAGCATTTACTGTACATATTTCTCCAACTTCTAAATTAAAGTCACATCTGTCATGCCTTTAAAACAGAGCCTATCTGAAAACAATTAATTTCCTTAACATCAATAACATTTTCTATACCATAGAAATGATAGTGAAGACTGCCCTTGTTTCATGATTTCATTAGATAAGCATCCTCTCACCATAACACAGTGTGAGACCCAATGATTCAAGTGACAGACAGTTTTTATCACTCAGATTTATTCTCAAACAGGTTTTGGATGGCTTTTTGCTAGAAATCAATGCATTACATTTTCAAGTACAGTATCATACACCATTTACCAATTAAATAGATTTTTTGCTTATTAAGGTGAAATTGCACAATTACAGAAGATTCAAATTCAGTTCTCTAGAACTGAGTATTATGTAAAGCCACTGCAGATAAAAAGCAAATGGAAACATGAATTGAAGACTTTGTCCTTTGAATCTTTTTCTTTTAGCAAGTCATCTTTTCCATGGGCTTAGAAACAAGTTATAAATGCAGACTTAATGTATGGGTGCAACTGAGAGGGAGGGGAAAGAGACCCAAAGTGCTTTTTTTTCCTAACAGTGTTAAGTCACAAGATAATGAATGCACCAATAGTTTTGGCAGAAAAATACATTCAGTTCACAAATTACAAAACATGATCATGAAACAAAACAAAGCAAAAAAAAAAACAAACAATATTGTTCTGATTTCAGAGAGATTCAGAGAGAAGCAACAGATTCACTAGAGGGCAACCCAAAACCAGCTTACTACCATACTGATGCAAATTATTACACACTATACACACATTACCATGCAGCCACAATGCTTGATCTACCATTACCTCATTGGCAAACTTCTCGTACATTTTTTCAGAGGAGATACGCTCTGAAGCTAAGATAGAACTGTTCTGTGCTTTTATCTCCTACAGTAGTCCCCATCACAGCAGGACAGTTACCTAAGAGCTCAAGACACACCCACTGTTTCTAGATTTTGTGATGTGCTCCTAACTTTTGCTGTTAACCAGCCTCTGAAAGCAGGTGTTCCTACAGCAATCCAAACTTGTATAAGTAACATCCACGTTTGGATTAGGACAGTCTCTTCCTCTCTCAAACAAGTGAGACTTCTTTCCTTATCAGTGGCATGTCCCAGATCCAATACCTAACCCATGAGCAAATGCTAAGAGTTTTCACATGGTTGAGAAATAATAATTTAATTCCACTTTACTTGCCTAGCAAGAATTAGGTCAGACCTCTGCATGTGAACACAGATCATAGAATCATAGAATCATAGAATCACTAAGGTTGGAAAAGACCTAAAAGATCATCCAGTCCAACCATTCACCTATTCCCAATAGCTCCTACTAAACCATGTCCCTCAACACAACATCCAGCCTTTCCTTGAACACCCCCAGGCTCGGTGACTCCACCACCTCCCTGGGCAGTCCATCCCAGTGCCTGACCACCCTTTCTGAAAAGTAATACTTCCTAATGTCCAGCCTGAATCTCCCCTACTGTAGCTTGAAGCCATTCCCCCTGGTCCTATCACTAATGACACGAGAGAAGAGGCCGACCCCCAGCTCACTACAACCTCCCTTCAGGAAGTTATAGAGAGCAATGAGGTCTCCCCTGAGCCTCCTCTTCTCCAGGCTGAACATTCCCAGCTCCTTCAGCCTCTCCTCATATGGCCTGTGTTCCAGATCCCTCACCAGCTTTGTTGCCCTCCTCTGAACACGTTCCAGGGCCTCAATATCTTTCTTGCAGTGACCAAAACTGGACACGGTACTCGTGTGTAGATAAAATGGCATAGCCTTGCATGGACAGAAACTGCCGGCAAGTTCTCTTGAACCAGCAGATCTGTACAAGAAGGAGCTTTTTACCTATCTTCCACTAAGAAAATGATTCAGATCTTGCTTTGCCTAACATGCTATGGGGCAGCTTCTCACAAAGGCCAACTCCTCAAGCACCCCGCTACAAAAACCTCGCCACATAAGCCATGTAAGCAAAAGAATGCATCTTATTTTTTTAAGCTTTTAAAGTAAAATTCCATAATATATACGTCATAATTTGGTCCCTGTAGAGCTCGAAAGACTAGAAAATTCAGGAATGTCGCTGCCACAACAGTTAGCAATTAGCTATTCATTACAAAAGTCAAATATCAATTAATTTAAAAAAAAAAAAAGCAACTATACAGACAAAACAAAGTGTGAAGACACATTCTGGCTTTTCTTGTATTTCACTGCTGATACATATACTGGAGAAGAAACTGATTAACCAACATAAGCAAACACAACCTGATTTCCAGCTTGCTGAAAAAGTACATATGTTGTTGTGTTGTCTGTAAAAAGCATTAAAACCATCACAGAGTAGCCAACCCCTAGTGCATTATTTGACCAAAAAGACTACATAAGTAGTTATGCTGCAGTAGTATGCTTCTAGAAAAGAAGCTGAAAACATGAGAGAGAACCCAGAAGTATGTTAGTATGTAAGTATCATAATAGAAAACTACATTGGTGACAAGAACAATAGTAGCCATTTTACCACCTCTGATGTGGTTTGAGATGTATGAACATGAGAGAAAATTCCTAGGGAAAAGACAATATAGTGGGACCTCTGATTCTCCACAAATTATTTTAAAAGAACATGTTTAATTACTGAAAAATCCCTTCAGCCAGTCAGTTGTCCTCATTCTGTTCCTCCCAGCTCCTTGGGCCCTTCACACAGAATCACAGAATGGCCTGGGTTGGAAGGCACCTCAAGGATCATGAATCTCCAACCCCTCCCCACCACAGGCAGGGCCACAATCTCCACATTTAATACTAGAACAGGTTTCACTGTGGCCTTGATGGCACCTGTATAGATTGGAGCATTATCAACTTTGTTTTTCTTCTAGAACTAAAGCATAGCATCATACCTGACACTCTGAAGAAAACAATACTGCCCCACTGAAACTAAGACAAAGAAGAAGATGTAAAAGCAGGAGTGTCCAACCCGTGCATGCCACCCTGGACAGACAGTTAGTAATGCAGCCCTACAGGATCATTAACTTTTCATATTGCTAAAAATCACACAGTACTGTGTTTCATTAGTCAGCTGCAAAACACACAGGCAACAGCAGAATACCAGGGAGGGCACAGTGCATTGCTTGCACCCATCACACACACACACACTCAAACTGAAACCCATTATAAAGAAACAATGACATGTTATAATGTCATCAAAGCAGTGAATTTCATAAAGCCCAAGGCATTGACTCATCTCCAGTTCCAGGACTTCCTTAAAATTATGGATGTCAATTATGGGGCATTGTTGTTTTTTTCCTTACTTTCTGAAATAAGGTGGTTAAGTTGGGCTAAAACGCTAGAAGTTTTTACAATTTGTAAAATAAGATTAAGTCATTTGTGGAGTTAGAAGGAAAACTGGTGTCAGAATATGAAGATGCAAAATGGCTACAGAATAACATTCTGGGTGGAATTGACTGCTCATTTAAATGAATTAAACACACATCTTTTGAGATCAAAATCAACTATCTGCACTGCATTTCAAATCATAACAGCATTCAAAATGAAACAAATTATAGCAAGCTCAAGTTATGGCAAATAATTTTACGCATTTTGATACAATGGCTAAACACAGTCCTGTGAACAGGGGAAAATATGCAGCTGTGCTGTGCATTTTGATCAAGGAAATTGAGAATGGATTTCAAGATTTTTCAAATGTATTTTTTTAATATTTGGGATTTCATTTTCATCCTAAGTGCACCTTCTGTAATTTTCTAATGGAAAGTATAAAGTTGTAATCAGATGCACAACTCAAAGAAACACTTGATCACTCCTCTTTACCAGACTTTCTTAAGATATATCAGAGAAAAGCGTCCCTCACTTCACAATCACACCTTATTCATGTCATCACTTTTTGGCAGCACGTACATTTGTGAGCAACTATTTTCAAGGATGAACAACTGGAAGAGTAAAATTAGAACAATCATCTCTTATGAATACCTTGAGAGTTCATTAAGAATTGCAACCACTGCCATCAAACCAAAAACTGATGCATTAGTTTCACAAAAACAAAGTCCAGCGTCGCACCAGTTTTATGTTTTTGTTGCCTTCCTTTGAATTATCTGTTTTGTATATAAATATAAAATATAAAATAAAAATTATTTTAATTATAAAAACCTTGAACATTAACTATCACATTATTTATTTTATATACAGCCCAAGGGAATTTCTTTTTCACTAAGCGTGGACCAGGTGAGCCAAAAGGTTGGACAACCATGATGTAAAGGTTTAACAGGAACTTCAGAACTGACAAAAATCCTGCTCTTCTGGAACAGGTCACAGTATGAAGGTGCAGTAGAGTGGTATAACGCTAAAGAAACGAAGTACAGACATACATCAGGATGAAACCTTGGAGGAAGGCGTTCTCTTGGAAGTCTTTCATAGTCATATCGTCCTTCAGACCACATTTCATCTCTCCGATATGCCACTGATGACAATAAAAAACCAATGAGTCAAAACCAGACTTGTTATCAATAGATGAGAGGATACTAAGCATAGAAACAAAGGTTCTTGGGCTTCTCCCAAGGCAATATATTACGCATAAGCTCTGTACGCTATTTGTTTTTAAATGAGGTCCTTATAAATCTGTCTAGTTACATAAACTAATTAATGAGTAAGTAATTAAGGCAAAAGCACTAGAAATAAAATTTCTGATAACAGTGTTGTTCAAAACTTCTTCAGTACCAACAACCACCAATGTACACTTCCTCTAAGTGATGACAGATGTAGTTTAAAATAATCAGAATTTGTAGTCATGAAAACAACATCTGCATTCTCCATCACAAAATATAAGCTGGAGCACTGATAGTTTACACAGCCTGAAAATGGGTTTAAATAAAGCTGAGATCTGTGGCAAACTCATACTTCAGTTTATAAAGAGTTCTGTTACTCTCTTTAAAAAAAAATAACTGACACTATGTGTAAGAACTGGATATTAGTGCAGTATAATCAGAATAAATCCAAGATTTACAGATACTGTAAACAGTCCTAGTGACATTTGTACACTACTATCAATTGTAGAAATACACAAAATCCTTACAGCAATTTTGTTATGGCTGTTTTTTAAAGAAACTTTTTTTTTTTTTTTAAATGAATTTAACTCATCTTTATTAGATTGAAGAATTCATGCTTTCTTATGTAAAACTTTTATTTTATCATCTTGGCCTTTTGGAAACAGGATAAGGCACAACATAATCAGTTATCAGTTAGTAATCAGTTAACACAAAACTCTGTTCTGAAAACATGAATTAAATGCATTCTTCACATGAAGATTTTGTGTTTTAAACTGTGAGTCAGCAGATCATGGAGATTCCTCTTTCAAAAAAATAGTGACTTCCGAAATCAAAATTAATAAATTAATAACAGGTGAAACTAAACCAATACTTTAAATGATTCTAGTCATGCTGTATTAGACAGCACAAATTCAAGGAGCTGAAACCTTTCTGATGATCATATAGGCAAAAAAGTGTAAAACACACATGGCTGAAAATTGTTACGAAACTGCTAGAATTACATTTCTCAGTGTTTCCTTTCACAATGGGTTCTAGCAATTAAGAATAATCTACAGGAAGAAGAAATAGCAGGATATTTTCAGGAGAGATTAACATTATCTATTTTTCTTTTCTGAAAGTAGATACCTGGAGATAGATTTATGAGGCTATATAAAAATGACAATTATCCGAGTTGTCAAGAATCAACAAGATAAGGGATTTATCAGCTCTAATCAGAGGTAGCACCACGTCAGCTATATATCCTTATGAATAACAGCAACCACCGGCATACTCACTTTTCTGTTAGTCTTAGAGACTTTGCCTCTGAAGACCCATTACCTGGGGGAAAAAAAAAAAAAGCAACTGAAATTAGTGAAAAAATGCATATAATCTCATAAATTAATTTTCTGTAAGTAAACCAAACATTTAAAATCTAAATCCCTTTGCTGCCCATCCCTCTTACTCTGTTTGGGTGAGTACAGGGTAATTCACTACACTCGGTTTAGAAAGAATATGAATGTCAGCTAAATTCAGAATACCAAAAACTTATACATGAAAAAATATTGTAGGTATATTTTCTGAAACAAAAAATAGTAATACTCAGAGCATTGTTTTCCTATTATGAACTTTTTCCAGGTAGCAGTCACTCACACTCATGTACAGGTCCATTACAGATTATAAGATAGCACAGCCCACACTTCCATTTCTGTCATTGTTTTAGAAAAATACTGAAACTTGCAAGAATTATTAGTATTTGGACACCCCCAAAAATAGAGAAAAGGTAGAACATAGTGTGACAAACACCAACGGACTGAAGGAAAAAAATATTCACAATTTTATAGAGAAGAAGAAAGAATGGAAAGGCAAAGAGGGATGAAAAAAAAATCTCGTGAGATTTTCAATTAGGAAGAAAATGGTGACAATTGATAAGACAACCAATTATCAAGTATGTTGTCCAAAACACTGGCAAGAAAAAAGGGGGAAAAGAAACGTTTATATAGAGGACTAAATGGACAGTTTTTAGACGGAACCTATGAAAGTGAGGATGTTACCCAAAATACAAGAATTATATATATATATATATCTATATACACACGCACACACACACATATACTTAAAGGGAGAAAAGCACATTTCTCAGCATTCTGAACACACCTCATCTCTTTCTATAGTAAAAATTTCTTAAACAATGTGACCTAATCAGAATGCAGCTTTAATAATATTGATGACATGCCAAAACATTTCCAATCAATTTGAGAAGATTCCATTAACAAGGTTTCACGGTAGCAAACCTCAAGCTTTCTGTACTACATTACCTGTTCTCTCAGGACAATCTTGTTTCAAAACAAAGATTAGAAATAAATACTTATTTTTGTTTCATACCTTAATTTCCCTGTGACTAACATCATCTTCTATTAGCACATACATCAAAGATAATTGATTTTTCTTCACTATCATGAAATGTAATGACCTGCAATATGAATTTAAACCGCTTTCTCCTTGTTCTTGCTCAAAGGTGACTGTTTTTGCTATAGCAAGTTCTTTAATTTCTCAAAAGCTGCTACACCATTGTACACAGAAGCCGTTGTATGGATGCAGCACAGGCTGCTCTGTGACGGCCTGCTGCCAAGGTTGGCTTGGCTGCACTTGTCACAGAGCTGCATCTTGCTATGCACTGCTGTAGCAGAGCTAACACTAAAAGGTTTTCTTCATCATGAAGATTACACAGGTTACTTAAACGTCAAATTTCTACACAAGTGAGTTTTCTTCATCGATCAACAGTTAATTATTCTTTCCTTCCTAAGGAACATTAACAAGCTAAAAAAAAGCTGACGTTTGTGAAAACATCCCATTACTCTGCAATGTTTTGCACATCATTCTTGTCTGTTTACACTTTCTTGAGACATCGATTTTAATCACTGCTATAAATATTAACTTCACCAGGGTTTGGAATATTTCAGCGTATGATATCAACCTTCTTCAGAATCCATATTGCTCCAAAAACATGCAGCTTTCTACCCCAGATGGCTACATCTTGCCATACCAAGACCATGCTCCAAATCCAGAGGCAAGGCGGCTGTACTGTTCTTGCTGCTACTGGAACACATCTGGCTTTGTACTGTTACTGTGACAACTGTAACAACTGCTAATGTGACAAAAACTCTGACAACTGACAAACATGGACTAATCTTGTCCCTCCTATGCTTTGGAAAGTTCTCAAAAAATAAAAAAAATTTAAAAAATACATGATCCTGTATAAGTAAGACATAAGAAAGATGCTGAAGACTCTGGTCTTCTCATGGCCAATTTCACAACAGCCACCTATTGTTTATTTGAGGATAGATACACTGAAAATGCAACTTTTTCTTGCAGCAGTGAGAATAAGAGAATGGTTTGGGTTGGAAGGAACACTTAAAACCACCTATTTCCGACCCCCCTGCTATAGGCAGGGACACCTCCCACTAGACCAGGTTGCTCAAAGCTCCATCTAGCCTGGCCTTGAGTGCTTCCACAGAGGGGGCATCCACAGCCTCACTGGACAGACAACCTGTTCCAGTGTCTCACCACCCTCACAGTAAAGAGCTTTTTTCTAATACCTAGTCTAAATCTACCCTCTTCCAGTTTAAAGCTGCTTCCCCTCCTCCTGACGCTACCTGCCCTTATAAAAAGTCCATCCCCAGCTCTCTTGTAGCTCCCCTTCAGGTACTGGAAGGCTGCTATAAGGTCTCCCTGGAGCCTTCTCTTCTCCACTCTGAAGAGCCCCAACTCCTTAGCCTTTCCTCGTAGGAGAGGTGCTTCAACCCTCTGATCATCTTGACAGCCCTCCTCTGGACCTGCTCCAACAACTCCATGAATGCAGATTTGATAATTCTTCACATATACTCTGGCATTCCTAGTTAGACAAGAAGCAAAATGGATAAACTGGAGTTTGGGACAGGCTGAGAACACTGAGCAGACACAGTTCTCCATTATAACTCGAAGCATCAGAACTATGAGAGAAAAGTATTGATAAAAAAAAAAAAAAAAAAACTAGAACAGAAATGCAGAGAGAATCCATCTCTTCCTAATAGGAATGGAGAGAATGCTTTGGGAGCTAATATTAACATTAATCTTTACATCTTTCTGTGAACAACCACAGTTACCAACATCCCATCCTTCCTCACTATCAACGCCATGAAAAGAGTATCCTGCCAAGCTTTGTATCCCTCCCACAGATTCTTTGCTCCCTTGAAGTTCCAAATACCTAGATTGAAGAACTAATCACAACACTTTACATCACAACTCCACCTAGGGCAAAGAGCCTACCCAGATGCTATCAGAGAGCAGACTTCAAGTGCTGAAACATGTAGGTATTTATTTCCATGGAAACTACAACAAATACGAAGAGCACAATAACACTATTTGTTAGAGGAAATTCGCAGCTACAAAACACTATTTTTGAATGTAGTCACCACAATTAGCTGTTCATTTTTGCCAGCAATGAACAAAAGCCTGCATGCTGCATTCATAAAAACAGGTACCAGTGGAAGTGACCCACTGCTGCTGTCATGACTGCTGAAATGCAGCACCTCAGTGTGCTAATGTGCACTGGTTGGTCTTCAGAAATATTCAGCAAGCACTGATGAGTGGCAATGGGCACAATTCTTTTCTACATGGAGGAATTCAACGACACACCTTTGCTTTGTATGATATTCCATGTCCGATGCCATTGTGTCAGACTGCCCCTCTGCTGCCATCATTTGCACAGCAACAAAACGTAACAGAATATTGGTGGGAAGGCTCAGCCTCTACTGCTGTACCACCAACATCTGCCTCTGATGTTGTGGACCTACATAATAAAAACAGAGGCACTACTTTTGGAGCAGCCCTCGTGCAAAATCTCTGAGTTTCAGGACATCTCTGTTAAGCCGAGCATCAAGATGTATTTTAGGACATCCAAGAAAATCGGACAGGTGACGTGGTTCTCAGGCTGCCCCGCAGAAGCAGCCAGGTACTGCCCCAGCACCACGAGGAGCCGCGCTGAAGGCATCTCAATGGCTTCGCATGCCTCCGAGAGCTAACTCGTGTAACTACACAGAACTAAGACTCTTCCTGCCAGAACAAAACTGAGAACGAAACTATCTTGTCACCGGCGGGCTTACAGAATGAAAATAAAGTTTAAGAAGTGAGGTTCGTACCTCCAGCTTCCCAGACTCAAGCATCAGCAGCAGCCGTCCTCCCCTTCCCCTCTCCGTCTCTCCATCCCCGCGCTCCCCACGGCAGGGCCGGACATACCCGGGACCCCGGCGCCGCTCCGCGCAGCCTCCGCCCCCCAACACGGCGTGCGGGAGGTGCCGCCCGCCCGCGTTGCGCCGCGGCCCCACCGACCAGGGGAGCGCCGCGCGTAAGGCCCAGCTCCACCTCCGCCCTCGGAACCCCGCGCTCGGAAACGCGCTCACCTCCGCCGCGTCCCACTCCGCAGCCCCGCTCTCGCTGCTTCCGGCGCCGCTCGGGCGTTAACGGAAGCGCCCGGCTCGCTCGCAACGCTCGGCGCGAGTCGTTGCGCGTCAGCGGAAGAGCGGGCCGGGCCGAGCCGAGCCGGGCGGTGCGGGCCGCTGTGTCGCAGCATGGGCGCCAGCGCGCGTTGAGCGCCGCTGTGCCGGGTAGGGCCGCAGCGGGGCCGGTGGGAGGCGGCTGGGCACCGCGCTGGGTACCGTGCTGGGCGCACTGAGTGCGGCGGGTGGGGCGGCGAGGGCGGCGCGCTGAGCAGGGTTCGGTCGGCGGCTGGGGCGTGAGGGCGAAGGCTGCGCTGTGCGCTGTGGAAGTTCCTTGACGGGCTGCTGCTCTCGACCTCGGTGTCGGTTTGGCCATCGTATCCAGGGCGGCACCAAAGTGGGTGCCAGCAGGGCGAGGGAGCTGTTTGTTTCCCTTTGCTCTAATGCCTGGTCTAGTATTAAATGTGGAGGTTGGTGGCCCTGCGTGTGGAAGGGGGAGTGGAGATTCATGATCCTTGAGGTTCCTTCCAACCCCGGCCATTCTGTGTGATTTTGTGCTCTGCCCACATGAAGCCCCAGCTGGAGTACCACATCCAGGCCTGCACCTCCAGCACAAGAAAAATGTGGGTCCTGAGGAAGGCAGTCAGGGGGCTGGAGCAGCTCTCCTGTGAAGGGAAGGTTGAGGGAGCTGGGCTTGTTCAGCCTGGAGATAGCATGTAAGCAGGAGGGAAATTGGCTTTTTACATGGGCAGACATTGATAGGACTAGGGGAAGAGTTTTAAACTAAACGAGAGGAGATTTAGATTAGGTGTCAGGGGAAATTTGTCCCTGAAAAGTGGTGAGGCACTGGTATGTGCTGCCCAGATAGGCTGTGGGTATCCCCGCTCTTGAGCTCTGGGCAGCCTGAGCTGCTGGGTGGTAACTGCCCATGGCACAGGAATGAGGCAGTCTTGATGGTCCCTTCCAACCCAAGCCATTCTAGAGTTCTTTGATTTGGATATAAGTTGGAGGAATTTACTGCTGTAACTGATGGCTGGTTGATTTGGCACTAAGCTCTGTTAATGCAATTGGACTAGAAATAAAACATGGCATTTAAAGTGTCGAGATAGAAGTTTGGCCTGAGTGAGCATGTCTGGACTGAGTGGTTTATCCTCAAATATTTATATATCTTTAGTTCATTAAGTCACAGTTCTGACCTTACTGTTGTGTATTTAAAACAAGTAAAAAATTTATGCGTAAGTTGCAGTTTTGTTGGTAAGGTATGAAAATATTGGTAATTTCAGATCTCGATGCTTCAGAGCCGTCTGAACTGTTTTGGTGATGTCCTTCTACTCTGTCCTGGGACAGTGTAGGAAAACCAATTACTGAAATGAATCATTATCTTTTCTTCTGATGTTCTCAATGTGAGTGACAGACGTGGCGTTGAGTATCTTGGATTCAAGCGAAGCGTGCTTCTGAAATCAGTGTATTTTGCAGGAGACTGCATCACTACTGACAGATGGTTCTCATCAAGGCTTTGTGTTGTTGGAAAAGACCGGAAAGGTTGAATTCAAGAAGTCATGCTAGTGACAGATATCTCCATCCCAAAAGTTAGTGTGTGAAAATAATAAATGAAGAAAGCATTAATATTGCAGAGAGGCTGTTACGTTAATGGGAGTTCTACTCAACCCCATGGAGATAATGTACTGGCTTCCAGCAGATGCTTTAATGTTACGTATCTGAGTAGCACCTTGCAGACTGGGGAAGTCACATAAAAGCATTCATTATAAAAACAGAAATGTTTCCATTTCTGCAGCAGGGTATAGAAGCCAGATTATATGTGACTCCCAGGTGAGTCCTATGGCAACTAGAAAGCTCAGATGCTTGTTTTTGGTTTTTTTTTTTAATGTTAGCCTGTGAAGTGAAATCCTGTAGAGTAGACAGACTGATAATGAAGGAGAAAGAAAATACATTGAACTTATATTGGACTGTGTGGTGTTAGAGAGTTCCTGAAGAAAAAGGACTCTGAGCCTTGTAATGGAAGAGTTTATAATCCGGGGAATTTAGCTTCAAACAAAAAATGGCTATTTTTTACATTTACCTTTTCCTCGTACTGGAAAACATCATGTATGTAAATTTGAAACTGCTATAACATGATTGATGGTTAGTAGAAAAACAAAACAAAAATCCACTCTTCATGTCCCAACAGTGGCTTTTGAGGTAATTCTTGTTTGATTGTTTTAAAAAAGGTAGATCTTTTTGTTAAGGTTTATAGGGGCGGGAAGAACTGTGGTAGCAGTTGGATCTCAAATTGCATTTATACCATTGTATTCACAATAGATAACAAGAAATGTGCATTTTTAATATACTTAAGTTTTTGGAACGATTGATTTTTGTAAACTCATTATTATAAACCATCCCGTGGTCCTTAGTATTTAGAACAGGATGCTGTCCTGCAGATCCTGAAGTTGTAGATTTGAAACTTTGCCAATTGGAAAATGGGAATGGCACTGTAGCCTTACAGCTGCTTCTTGTGTGTTGAAGGTAAAACGACTGAAATACCAGCACCATAGCCCTGAACAATACTGTTATGTAGGCAGTCAGAACTACAACACTGATTCACTTAAATTTTTCTGGGAAACTGGAAATAAAGCTAAGCCTTAGCTGGCTAGCAGGCTGCAACTTTTTCAGTTTGCACCTGGAATAAGTACTGTACAGCTAAAAACTGCAACTTTCAAGCTTGTGTTGATAGTAATTTTGTACTGGCTGAGCAATTAGGCTTGTAGTAATCTTCATCATGAGGGAGTGCTTACCATGTCCTTTGCATTGAGCTGCCTGTCTGGATAACTGCACTCAGGCCATCTATTTGCGTGGTGTGGTGGCAGTCTGGTTAGGCTTGTCAAGGATACTAATGCCAAGCAGCAAGGAATTTGGGATAATAAATCAAGGCTGCATAACACCAGATGCAATGCGTGGCCTTTCTTGCAAATTTATTCTGTTTTTGTTTGCTTAACCTTTATGTTGCCATTTCCACTGGTGCCAAAAAAAACAGTCTCTGAATGTGGAAAAACTCAAAACTGAATCACTTAGAAACCCATGCTTAAATGAGTTGTGATACATGGAGCTTGTCAGAAAAGAGAAACAAAACAGTTAGATAACAGGTTTCTGCTAGGAGTGTTGTATCTTGGATTGCTGAAGGTTGAAATGCTAGAAAATAACCAAAGATGGATTAGAGTCTGACATTAGTTACTTTGTTGGCAACTGACACTTTCATTTAATCAAACTCCCTATGCAGAAAGTCCTTTAACATGCAGTATGTGTTCCGTGATGGATATTGATTTATTCGGTTTCTTTCATTCTTTCATCAGCTTTCATCTGCATTTTAAAATGAATTGGTCTTACAGAAATGGCTTGATCTCAGTATGGCAGGCAGCTAGGAATCAGAGCTACCAAGAAAAGGCAGTAAGGCTGCAGGAAACAGGATGAGTGGTATTAATAGGGCTGTGTAAGGAATTTTTTTTGCTATGTTCTTTGGTGTCTTTTATTCTGATCTTGCATTTTACTCATTTGGACCAAATCCTATCTGCTGATTGGATCTGAAGCAAGAAGAGCTTTTCACAGACTTTGGTGCCACTTAAAATTTTGGGGAAAGTCCTAACATGAGGAAAACCCCAGTCTGCCGTTTTTTAAAGTTAATTCAGTCATTTATTACTTTGTGTAAGGTAACCTGTATGTAGTTACAAGATAGGATGAGGTGATAGAGTCATAGAATGGCTTGGATTGGAATGGAATAGCTTGAAAGAAACCATCCAGTTCCAACCCTGTGCCTAGGGTGGAGCTGCCACCCACAACTATATCAGATTGCCAGGGCCTCATGCAGCCTGGTGTTGAACACCTCCATGGATGGGGCATCATCAGCTTCTCTGGGCAGATGTGCCAGTGCCTCACTGCCCTCCGAGTAAAGAATTGCTTCCTTGTCCTATCACTGCCTGTGTAACAAGTCAATCTCCCTCCTGTTTATAAGCACCTCTCAAATAGTGTAAGGTCTCAGTGGAATCCCTCTGGAGCCTCCTCTTCTTCAAGCAGAACATGCCCAGCTCCCTCAGCCTTTCTTCAAAGGAGAGCTGCTCCAGCCCTCTGATCATCTTCCTGACCCTCCTCTGGAGCCGCTGCAATAGCTCTGCATCCTTGTGCTGGGAACCCCAGCCTGGGCACAGTACTCCAGATGGGGCCTCACATGGGCAGAGCAGAGAAAGACAATCGCATCCTCACCTCACTGGCCATGCAGCATGTTGAAAATCTTCTCATTAAACTAATATAAAATGGCCTCATTATTTCTAGGCATTGTACTGGTACTCAGCATCCATAACTTAAAAGAGGTTAGGATAGAAAATGTCTGTGGGATTTTCATGGTTCCTGCTGGTATAAAACTGCTCAATCAAGAGGAGGAGCATCTCAGGAAGATGCTGTTCATAACCTGCTCTGGAAATCTACAATTCCAGAGCACGATAATGAATTCAGGAGGGAATGTGTGCTGTTGTGACAGCTGAGATACGCTTTTTAAAGCCAATGCAGTTTATTTTCTTTCTTCCCAATAGTTAGGACTCTGCTTTAGGAAAGCTTTTCCTTTTTTCCTTAACCAAATGTAGTTTAGTCTACGTTGAATCCAGCTGAGCTGGAACTAGTGAAAAGAGATCATGATGGTACTTGAATGAAGGTTATTAATTTCACATATTGGCCAGAATGTTTAATAAATGGAGATAGAGCCTTAGTACACTAACTTGCCAGTTACTGGTTGACTGGGACAGGAAAAAATATGCTTTAGAGCAGAGGGATGGGGAAGAATACAAGGGCAAAAATGGATTTCATGTAAAAATGATGAAAGGGAAATGAAAGCTGTGCTTTCTTGCATTTTTATCACAGCCAGTTGTGTTTGAAGAACAGTTTGGAAAAAAAGTGGAAAGTCTTACAACTGTTTTGTTGAGCTTTTTCAATTGCTTGCATTTTGAATACAGTTTAATTCATTTCTCTTTCTTCTCTCATCAGGAAAATGAGTGGAGGGTTGGCACCAAGCAAAAGCACAGTCTATGTGTCCAATCTACCCTTTGCTTTGACAAACAATGATCTATATAGGGTAAGTTTTCAAAAGCCATATTGGTTAGACTGAGGTTAGTGACAACAATTTTGAGTATAAATACAATATTGATATGGATCTTTTCTAAAAGTTTATCTCAGTACGTTTATTGATAATTAAATGTAATTGTCTGTAGTTAAATCTTTTTATTTTGTTCTGTATTTCAGATTTTTTCCAAGTATGGAAAAGTTGTCAAGTAAGTGATCTGATTATAACCTGTTACTTTTGGAGTTCTCATCAAATATTTTAAAATATTTGATGTCTTTGCTTGACTTGAACATATTGTGCTCTTTATGATTTAAGTATTAAATGTCTAACTGTATTGAAGTCCTATTCATGTTTAATGAAGTGTAAATTTAATAACTGGAAGTTCTTGCACATATACTGTAAGAGTAGATGCGCTGGAGACAAGTACTGTTGGTAACCACTTCTCAAGAGCAAGTAGAATGTTGATATATAGAAGCAATGGTTTCTCTAAAGTAGCTGAAGCAATATCTTCTGGTAAGTGCTGCCAGGTTGAGAACTGTAGCAGTGGAAGCTTCTACATGTGTGAGCTCGATGTCACAGTTATTACAACCAGTTCCCACAACTGCAGTGTACAGTTCCTTTATGGTTCTAGGTTGATTTGTTATAGTCACTGTTTAAGAGTAGGCGTAAGGCTGCATGATAACAGCTCTTTATATGTGCCACATTCACGAATAAGATTTGGGAATATCTGTCTCCATGTTGAAATAATAGAAATAAATGCTGAGATAAGAAACTTGCTGGGTTTGTATGCTGTTTTTAACTGATCAGAATAACAAAACTAGATTTGAGTTTTCAGCTCTGTATGAGCAAATATCTGGTCTAACATTCACACACAGAATCACACAGAATCACAGAATGGCCAGGGTTGGAAGGGACCTCAAGGATCATGAAGCTCCAACCCCCCTGTCACACATGCAGGGCCAACAACCTCCCCATTTAATACCAGACCAGGCTGCCCAGGGCCCCATCCAACCTGGCCTTGAGCTTCTCCAGGGACGGGGCATCCACAACCTCTCTGGGCAGCCTGTTCCAGCACCTCACCACTCTCTCTGTAAAGAACTTGCCCCTGACATCCAACCTAAATCTTCCCTCCTTGAACTTAAAACCATTTCCCCTTGTCCTGCAGTTATCTACTCTTTCAAAGAGTTGATTTCCCTCCTCTTTGTAGGCTCCCTTTAGGTATTGAAATGCTGCAATGAGTCACCCTACAGCTGAACAAGCCCAGCTCCCTCAGTCTGCCTTCATAACATTCATTGGCTGCTGTAATCATTTCTCTCATATAGAGCTATTCAAAGTTTCTGAAGTCTCAGCAGTGCGTTTCAGTGGACAAAATAGCAGGAAATGCTTATCAGGCTGTTGGACAAACATACAGGAGAGGAAAGCCCTTATGTAGAGTTCTGGCAGACATGTGGTGACCAGTGCAACTGGGCAGCTTCAGTGTTTCTTTCCAGGTTCATGGTACTTGACCTGTTTTAGTTGATTGCTGAACAACTGACTTAGAAAAACCTGTTGTAGTAACATTGGTGCTTAATAACTATTGATGAATCTATTCTTCATAAATTTGTCACTTCTGACCTCCCTGCTATTCTTTGGTAAGGAATTCCACAATGTAAAGTATGTATGTGGGTTGTATGTGCTGGGAGAGGGGTCTTCTATTACTTTGGCTTTTGAACTTGTTTGGGTACTTAACTGCATGAAGTAATGACTGTATGATACAATGCTTATTTTAAAGGTGCAATAGCAGCCTGCTTTCCCTTTTCTGTTAATAGTTTCTCGTGGTTTTGCCTAACATATGCCACAGAAATGGTGTTTTCAGATGCCTGAACTGAAGAAATCCTGTTCTGCATTATTTGGGAAACCAAGTAACTTAGAACTCACAGCTCTATTTGTATGGTTTCTGTTTGCCTCACCTGTATATTACTTCACAAAAAAAGAATCACTTCCTAACATCTAATTTTTCCTGATGTTTTGCCTGTTTACTGTCAGAAATGAAACTAACTGCAGACTCACAGAATAGCGTGTGTGAAATACTATCGTGGAACAACTTTTCGTTTAGCAAAACTCGCTACCTAACTCTTTGCCCATTTGCAAGCTGACCTGACTCTCAACAGTGCAGATAGAATGGGATTTTACTGGCTTTTCAGCTTCACAATGAAAAGTGATCCTTGTTAGTCTTAGTTTCTTGTTTGCAATTCATTATTAGTTCCCAAGAAAAGTCTTTGCAAAAGTTAGTTTGTTTTCTGGAAAGTCTTTGTTCAGGGACGTCGAACACTGCATTTCACAGAAAGTTTTATAGTTCCAATTGAATCAGTTCTAACTTAATTAAAGAAGCTTTAGTTGGCTTTTTTTGAGGTGTGACTTGGCTCAGCAAAATCACACTGACTTCTCTTTCTTACTGCACTTTTCACCTCACTGTATGCTGATGATTATGAGTTCAGCTCAGTTTTTTCAGAAATCGGACCTCCTAGGGTTCCAAGAAGCTGCTGACTTGGTAAAGGTTTGTCATGCATTGTATTATTAATTGGTGCATTAACATCCCAATCAGAAGTCTGACAGTCATTTTGGGGTTCCACTGGAACTCTTGGGAGAATATCTTGTCAAAAGAACAGACAGAATTGGTCTAAACTCAGTTTTATTGACTCTTCAACACATTGTTGAGTGCATCCTTGTCAAAGAGGCTTTGATAGAAAACCTGTTCTATGCTCTATCTGTCTGTACCTGCATTTGGGGGAAAACTGAGTATTTTTTCTGAGCTTTTGTCTTACAGTTTTTACTATGTAGATAATCTGTTACACTTTTTTCTAGTAGGCTTTCTGTTTTTGAACTGTTGAGAGGTCATTGGTTGGTTAGTTTGGTTGGATTTAGATTATTCGTTGGTGCTACCACCTCTTCTGATTTTATACTGCCTTATGGCTGAACCTTGTTCTACCTGCTAAGTGAGACACAGGCAGGAGTTTATTCTTTTAGCTTTGAACATGTATTTTTACATACATGCAGACTGCTATCCTGTTTCCCATTCATATTTGTCTAAAAACAATTGACATAAGAGCAAAAGAATCGAGGTTGGGTGGTTTTCATTCTTTGCGTTTGCTGGGTAAAAGTCTTAAATTTGCTACCATCTCTGTTGTTTCCAATGTCAGACCCAAGATTTGGCTTTGTGTCATGTAAATTAACACATGTATCCATAACCTGCCTGGATCCCAGTTGCAGAAACTTGTAGAAAAATATTGCAAAACACTTACTATTTTCCATTGTGCACCTCTTTGGCTGGTTAAAATATATATATATAATCTATATATCATATATAGATTGAGATATAAAATATATAGAGATATTATATATTTATTAATTTTGGCAGCAAAAATATATACTCTGTTTGGATGCAATTCAATACACTGCTTTTTCAGCAATGATAGCAATGGGCAAGATTACTCCTGAATTTTAATTTCACCTCCAGTATGTATAATTCCCTCCAGTTGCACAGTCTGCAAGTCTAAAGTGTACGTTCTTCATTCTGAAGCCATTCAGGAGAGTAAGGCATGGCAGTGGACTAGAATGATGTGGAGAGACTCCTCAGACTATTTTCGAATCATCTCCAGTGTACCTGCAAGCACAAAGTGTGGTTGGCTGTCCCTCTGAATTTAATCTTTCTATCATTAAGTATGCTTTTTTTCCTTTTTGCTGCCTGGCTAAGCTAAGATCCTGTTGAGATCTTTCTGGAAGAACTGTCTCTAAAACAATTCTAGCATATCAATGATGTGACTGTATGTTTTCAGAGTTACTATTATGAAAGACAAAGACACCAGGAAGAGCAAAGGAGTTGCCTTTATTTTGTTTTTGGATAAAGAATCTGCACAAAACTGTTCTCGGGCACTCAATAACAAACAGGTAAGTTATGGGAAGTTGCTATGGTGGAAGGGTAGGGTTTGCACTTTCAAAAATTTACTTTTTTCTCCTATTTGCTGTAGCTGTTTGGCAGAGTAATAAAAGCAAGTATTGCCATTGACAATGGAAGAGCAGCAGAATTCATTCGCAGGCGGAACTACTTTGATAAGTCAAAATGTTATGAATGCGGGGTGAGTAAAACCAAAAGTAAAGCAACGTATTCCATATTTTGACTTTCAGCTTATTTCTTCAGTTTCACCATTAATAATACTGTGGTATTATTAAATATAATATTAACATATATTAAAACATGTATTAAAATATGTTTGCTGTTGTTGTTGTTGTCAGTTTGCATAGCAGTTCTACCATTGTCCAGAATGACAAAACCTTTTGGGGGATTTTTGAGGGATGGGAGAAAAATGTTCTTATAACAACTGCTTAACGTGCTGATGAGCAAGACAAAGCATCCTTATTATAATGTTATATGAGAAGGAACAGCTCCTAATCTTTGCTTCAAAATATTCCCATTTTTGAGACCAAAAATGTCGACTCAGTCATATTTCTTAAACTGTTAACACTGAAGTTTGTATCTCATCATGAGTATAAACCATGCTGTCCTGTATTCTGATGTTGCAGCAGCAGCCAAAGTTAATCTGGCTCGCACATAGTTGTTCTGAATTTGCAATTAAACATGCATATCACTGCCCATCTCTTTGTTTCCATGGCAAGCTTATAAAGAGTTTGTCTTCTGTGTGCTAATTCAGCATTCCATTTATCTTATTAATTGCTTCAATTTTTTTTCCCCTGTGAACTGTCTTCCATTAACTTCCCTCATTATGTGTTTCAACATGTAGTGGTTGGTAATGATTTTTGTTAATTAATATTTCTTTTCCTACAAGGAAGCAGGACACTTAAGTTATGCTTGTCCTAAAAATATGCTGGGAGAGCGGGAGCCACCAAAGAAAAAAGAAAAGAAGAAGAGAAAGAAAGTTGTTGAACCAGAAGAAATGTATGTACATTTATTTACGTGTTACTACTTTGTTGAAGCAGCTTTTGCATATGAAACCTTTAAAGATCTCTGCATTTTTCTCTCTCTGCACAATGAAGTGAGGAAGAAGAAGAAAGTGAAGAGGAAGGAGAAGATCCTGCTCTTGACAGCCTCAGCCAGGCTATAGCTGTTCAGGTACAAAATTGACGTGTCGCATATTTATTTCTAAATGGAACTCTGCCTCCTTCTTTTAGCTATATTAGATACATGCATTGCTTTATCTAATAGAGCTTTCCTCTCAAAACGTATTTATAGCGTTTTTTGTTACATAGGTAGTAATACAGCTGTCAGACTCTCTGTCTTTAATATTTCCTTACAGGCTTCACTACACAGTGCAAGCCTGAAGTGGTGTTCAGATGTCATGACTTTCCAGTCCCCTGCTGTCTCCTGTGCACCCCCACTGCCCAAAAAAAGTCCTCAGACTTTTTTTTTAAGATAACTTTGTCCCAGAGATGACTTTACTGATGTGCAACAGATTTACAGGACATAGTTTGAAAAAAGTTGTGCAGATATGCACAATTATACCCCCACTTGCATCCCAAAAAATCCTCCGTGGTTAGAAATAAAACCAGTAAGCGTAAAGAAACCAGACAATATTTCATTTCTCTCAATCCAAAGAATTTAGCCAGGGTAGCATGTTTTCTAATAAAAATAGGAAACATCTATTTTAACCTTTAGCTGAATTACTTTCGTATCCCTGAAGAATTGAATTCCCTGAATGAATGACTAGAAAAGGCAACAGATAGACTTGTTAGTGGAACAAATCTGACTCAACAGCAGGCTCAAATGCAGTGTGCATGCCTGGCTTCAAATCTCAGTTGCTCTGTAGCTCTGGAAGTTCACTGTACTCATCTAGGTCCTCTCTTGGAAAACAGAGAGTACCCCATCTGCATTGGTGCAGAGCACTCCTACTGTTTGAATGTGATAACTACTTTTAGAAGTGTTTTCTGGAATGCATGCATAACACAATTTATCTGGAAATTGAGATCAATCCTCTAAATTCTTTACCTTGCTAAATAACGCATTGCCTTTTGATAATTAACATTATTATTTGTAATGCATCTTAATTTTTTCTTAGTACTAGCTAACACTGCTTCTTCCATTATAGCAAGCCAAAATTGAGGAAGAGCAACAAAGGTGGACACAGACTGCAGGGGAATCTTCAATTTCAGATGACTCAAAACGTCCACGGATTAAGAAAAGTGCTTATTTCAGTGATGAAGAAGAACTTAGTGATTGAAGTAATAGTGTTTTATATGTGTATATATAATATATACGGTGTACATTTTGTAAAGTGGTACAAGTTGTCTGTAATACAGGTTTTCCTTGGTGTTGAAGACACAGAAAATCATGTTTCAGTTCTACCCTTCCACTTGAAGGTCTTAGTTTTTGATCTGTCTGTCTCTCTTCTCCCTCCATGTCTCCTCCACAACCCCCTCTTTTGCCTTAAAGGCAGCTTTTTACAAAAGTAGAGTGTTTCTATACTTGAATCCAGATAAATACCTGTGAGAATACTTCTTGCAGGTAGTATCTCAACCTGAACCATGGGAGTAAAATCGTTCATTAAAGGAGTTTTCCTAAGAGGACTTCCTCTTAGGATCGCTGTTAACACCTCAGATTCTTTATTAGCCTGTTTATTGTCTGTTTGGAAGCAGTGCTTTAGTAGTACTTCAGTGTTGTGTGATTGTTGCACAGCTTCTCTGCACGGGGCTGTATTTCAGCTTTAACCATTGTATTGTCTTCTAACACTTCATACAGTAGTACAATAAATTACTCTTATATAAACTCGGTCTGTGAAATCATTTTAGAGTATAACTGTCTGTTCTCCAAAAGGACACTGAGATGCTGTTCTCCTGTTTTGTGTACTATCTGAGTCATTTGTTGTACATCTTTAAGCATTATATAGTCATATGCAATATAGGCATTGTATGAGATGCAAGTTAAGTGACGTGGTGATCTGGTCGCTCTTAAAATCAAGACTCCATATATTTAAAAAAGAGCTATTAGCCATTATACGTTAAAAGTGAGAGGGTTCATATGTTTTAATATACTCTAATCTGATATTTGAAGTCTTCTGCTATGGTAAGAGCTTATACTGCACTTGTTTTCCTGGCTGCAGTTTGGATGCCTAACACGTTAATTATGGTAATGCATTGATTTATAAATGTAGTTGTATTTAGAGTGGTTAACAAGAGCATAGCTCAGTCCTGTCTATGTTCTTAGGTATCTGAATCTGCTGTTAAAAGCCAAAGGTCACAAAGATCCCTGTGTGCCTGAAAATCAGCTTTAATTTATCCCTGGAACTGTCACGGTCTAAGCAAAGTGCGGGCACCTATTTTGTACTGAAAGCTGTTCAAATCTTCTAAAAAGGGTATCCTGCTTAAATCTGTGTAGGGTTCTGGTCTTCTTCTTGTGACTAAGGCTAAAGAGCATCATGGAAGCATCAGGATCAGTACAAAGCCCTGCACCAGTGATCACTCCCCAAGCCACAGATACGTGATGATGGTAATAACCTTTCTATGTCAGCCACTTTCTGTAGTCAGACTTTTCGTTTTTAGGACTCACAATATATAAAACACATTTACACTTTCACACTTGAAAGAAGAAACCATCTGGCCTCTGTTTCTATTTTCAGCTCTTCCTGTTGCTCATCAGGACTTGGTTTTCTTCCAAATATAGAAAATATAAATCTAAGTATATCATTACATATTTTTGGTTAATGCCAATTTACATTCAGATATATAACTGACTGTTTTAGCATGTGCAAACAAACCAACCACAACTACGTACACCCTTTAAGCAAATACACAGCAGCATCCAGATAGTCGTTGTAGGGTCTTCTGTTAATAATTCCAAAGAAGTTCAGAAATGAAAATAAGGTAATGAGCTGGAAGATTTTTCTGCATGAAAAAGCCACAAAAAAACAGGGTTTGTCTACTTCTCAAGTATTCTTCAGTGCTGTTTTCCAAAAAAATTAGAAAACCAAAACACAGTAGACATGGTTGACATAATCTATGGCTTAGATTTGGGAATAAAGATTAGAATAGGATCATTCAGTTGGAAAGGGCCTTCAAAGATCATTTAGTTCAACTGCAACATTTGGCAGCTTGGAAGAACTCAGTAGTCAAGGAAGTGATCAGGCAGCCAATTTCAATGAATTCAGTACACTGTGTAGTCTAGTAATGGAGTTCATTGCTGTGGGACTTTTTTCAGGGTCAGAGGGTCAAAAAGACTTGTATGTAGAAGGTGATAGTTGTCAAATGTTAGCTTAAATGTGATCTCCACTCAGAAATACCCTACATTACTGACTACCTATGGCTGTAAAATATATAGAGAGATTAACAGCCTAGGAGTGCTTCATTCTTACACACTTTTCTTTTTCCTAGTGGAGTCTTGTCAGAAAAAATAAAACGAAACTGACTTTGTTCTGACCCGATGCAGTGCATTTTCAGGATTTGCAGTAGCTGGAGCACGTTGTTGTATCTTTCTACCCTGCTTCTTCTGCCTCACTACTTTCCCCATAGGATCTGCTTTTGTCAGCACGAAGCAGTAGCTCAGTCCAGGCTATTAGAGCTGACCTGGTGTCACTCTTCTGTGCTCTTTTGTACCAAGCATGAAGTCACTTAAGAGGCAGCTGCCATCGCAAAAGGAACAGATAGGAATGATCCTGCTTCTTTGCAGAGCTGGCATCTAGAATTCCTTACCTTAAATCATATTTAACCAGATTTTTAAATTCTGTTTGGACTTTTATTGTTTAATGGTACTTGCAGGTTTTGTCTTAGAGTCAGGGTAAGGAAAAGGGCACCTAGTGCCTAAAATGGGACTTAGAGGGACTTTGGAGAAGTGAGATTTTGCACTTTGGTCTCGTGAATTATTTGAAGTTTCTGTTCTTTGTTGGCAAAAGGATGAAGCATCTCTCTGTGAGGAATTAGGGATAGCAGCCTTAGGTAATTACTGTTTATTAACACCAAGGGATTTGCCCAAGGTCACCTACCTCATGCAGCATGGCTTCAGTTTTCCATCAGAATCTGATCAGTGTGGAAAAGCTCAGCGGAGTGTGAACCAACCTCCTAATTTAGATCAGGCCAATAGGATACCACTTTATAAAACAGGAGTGGTGGAGTGGTTCTTTTGTCGTAGTTTGGAATCTTAGAGCAGCAGTTCAGGGAGCAGAAAACAGCTGCGGTGGCTGCATGGCTCTGGGCCAGATGGGTGACGCTATGGAGGCATATTAAGGAAAGAAGAAGAATAAAAACTGCCTTGTAAAACACCTTCCAGCCTTCCTGTTGCTGTCAGAAAAGCCACAGCGTTTTGTGAGTGGTTTTTGTTGTTTTATTTTTCCTTTTTATAAAATACTTTGAGGTCATAGCTTTCGCAAGCAAGCTGAGTGCTGGTGTTAGAGTATATACAGTATGGCTATGATTAGAGAGAATATGATACAAGTGGCAGACTTCTAATAACATTACAAACTGAGATCTTTGTACAAATACCAATTTACTACATTTTGTCCTTCGCATTTTCAGAACAGTTTGAAAATTGTTGAAATAATTCATTCCAGGTGTTGGAACCTCTTTTTGTCTATTGAACTGGCTCAAAGAGTAATGTCCCCAAAGCCACTGGAAGATGACTTTTATCTGTCCTTGGGGAAGAAAGGACCGTGTAAAGGGGGATAAGGATGATTAGCTAACTGATTATAAATTATATTGCTCAAATTGTGCCCATGCAGCACTTGTACTAGCAGCCATTGCAGCTATGAGGCATTGGAGTAATTCAGTCTGTGTTTAGCAGGCTCACACTATGTTCTTGGCATATTCAGGTTACTACTCTCAACAGAGCAATAGATGGGGCTGTAAATATAAAGAACTATGTCTAGCTAAATAGGTGATGTCTGGAACAAATTGTAAACACTTTATCTTTGGTTTCTGGGTCACCACGTTCTCTGGAATAGCCCTTTGTTAGTCTGCAGGGATGGCTTACCATTGCACAAGAGGATGAGCACTGCATGGTCTTTTAGCTGTAGTATTCTGTTGCAGAAAATATTGAACTGCTTAGAAAAGCTGGATGTAAAGCTTATTTGATATTTAGAAATGGGATTTATTAGGTGCTACTGTGAACATTTAAAGATATTGGTATAGAGACTTCATAGTTTCCAGTTTCTATTCTGTTTGGCCTCTGCAGCATCAGTAAGATAATATATATGTCACAATGCCACCATTGCTCTTCTACAGAAGTATTTCAGATACACTCTTCCATACGTGTTACATTAAATTAACTGGCGTTGGACAGCTGATTGCTTGTTTTTAGTATAGATTGCAAAACTGATGTTAGGTGTTCTTAACATGTTTCTGTGAAACAGTTTTGATTGTCTTGTGGATCATAACAGGGTAAGGTTTTTTCTGTTGAAGGCAATATTAAAAATTCCTGCACTGCACCTCCTTTAGAGAAGAAGGTGTAAACTGAAGAGCTGAGTTACTCTCAGAGTGGTTGACCTTGTTTCTTCTATCTTGGTGTAAGATAGGCAAAAAGCCTAGAAAGGATAAGTCTGTATGTGAAAGCAAGGGGTATTTCTGAAGTTGAGGAATAGCACAGGTTTGTGTAATAATGGGGTTTTTTTTTTAGTGCCAGAGCAGCTCTGAATGCTGTGCATTCAAACAGATGAGATGTGTGCTTATACATGTATTTAATGGATATAGATAATCCAGCAACTGGAGTTACAGAAATTGTAAAACGTTATAAAAACAAAAAGCCTGGTGAGGCAATGTAGGGTACAGTGACTTGAAGAAATACCACTAATAGTATGAGGACTGCCCTGTCTGATTAGTAAGATACTGCTGAGAAGCAAACGCAGCTCTGAGATGATGTCCTTCAAAGCTAAGAGCCACAAGCCTGCGTCAAGATGAGCTGATCCATGAAAATTCAATTGTATCAATAGGCAGCTGAAGAAAATTAGAAGGCATCTAAATTTAGATACTGCATCAAGCTTGGTACAGTACAGCAAAAACTGTCACTTGGCTGCAGACGTAAAGATGCATTACTGTAACTGTGTGTGATGGCAGAGGGCATGTACGTGAGCAGATGCAGCTATAGCAGAAGGAGGGACCCAAAATTAACCAAAATGAATGTGAAGGAAAGTGTGTGTATGCTGTGAATTTCCAAAGCACTGAAATATATTTTTAGAGTGAATGGACTGGAACTGCATATATTGCTTCATGTTTAATTAAAAAATAAGTGTGTTACATCTGAAAATGATGAACCTTTCTAATGGTACAAGCTTGTGGTGATGTGCAAATGTTCAAGGAAAGGAGAGAAAGGAAAGGAGGATGCAGTTCTGCAAAGGACCTCACTTGGGATGCCCTTGATGTGTGAATTTGATTAGATGGCAAGGAGCCATCTGCCCATGAAGCCTGGAGCCAGGAGGGTGCATAAAAAATGAAATGACTTAGTAGCATATGGCAGTTAGAAAAGATGAGAACATACAGTACGTGGACGTGACGGCTTTGAGTTCATGAACCGTGTATTTGGAATGAGTGATTATAGTCCTTGAAATTATGTTCTTTCAAAGAAAGTTTTCAAAAATACAACCGCTAGATTTATTTTCATCTGTTGCAGCACTGCGTTTTGGACAAGTGTTTTTACTGTGGGAGGCTTTCACAGGAAAAGCTTAAATATGGAAACTCAGTTAATTAAAATCTGGAACACAGTTCTGCAGCAAGGGTGGATCGTCTGAGTCCCGTGCCTGTGGCATCTCAGAGAATGCAGGGCCCCAGGGCACTATTTGTGTTCAT